GTACACATTATACAATATACAATAATATACATACATAAAAAAAATTCCAAACTACATTTTAGAAATACATACTCAGTACAGGGTATCATCAGGGTATCATATAGAAGGATTAAAAGATAATTGAAAAACTAAGATTTTAGATCTCATAATTCCACGCACCTTGACCTATTTACAATTACAAAATCCTCGATAAATTAATGAGGGTGGACCTTCAACGAAAGCGGTTCGCCTCCGAGAGGCGCCTGCGCCGTTTCGAAACTAATCTGTGAGGACCCGACCTCCAAGCCGCATGACGTCCGTTGATTTATGGGAGAAACACTCTTAATGCACCGATTGGGTTTGGTGATCTGTGGGCAAATAAAAGAAGAACGACCACTAATTTTTAAATTGTTAACGGTGTGTTTTGTTTGGACTAGTTTGATAGTCCAACTATTGGTCGAAGACTCGGAAATTCCACCACTGGAAGGTGCAAGCGTTATTATTACTATTATTTAAGTCTCTTCGATATCACACACTTTGTCCAGATGCTGGATGTGAGCTTTCCCCAACGAGCGCCAAAGAGCTTTTTTTACTATCGTCGTCTGGTATATTGATCGTCATCCAATCAACCAGTACCGAGTCCAAAAATATAATATCTAGTTTTTATTAAAGTAGCACTTTTGTACAATCACTGCTTGTGACCAAATAAAAAACTATAATATGCGGAATAGAAGTGACCACTAAATCTTCTAATCAATTTCACAATGCGAGTCCCATTAATCTTCAGTGTTACTCACTCGTCTGCCGGACATTTTAGTAAGATAATGTCAATGCCAATCCGCAACTGCAACTTTGCTCACATATAAACATAGATATACATATTATTCAAATACCTATTATAATTATATTATATGACCTCTGACCGAAACGCTGAGAGTGTGTCAATTTTAAATAAAATGCACTCACTCACTGGCACTAAAATGAGAAGGGTACCCGCGACAATTGCATACAATACAACAGTACTCATATTAGTGTCACAAAAAGTTTATAATTTTACAAAAAACCATTCGTANAATACATGTCGTTATAAATAACGCTATAGAATATATATCCACTTAGAAATATAGCGAATTCAAAAAAAAGTTAGGGTGTGCGTTAAAGGGTTAATGCACCGATTGGTGATCTGTGGGCAAATAAAAGAAGAACGGCCACTAATTTTTAAATTGTTAACGGTGTGGTTTGTTTGGACTAGTTTGATAGTCCATTGGTCGAAGACTCGGAAATTCCACCACTGGAAGGTGCAAGCGTTATTATTACATATTTTTATAATGTAAAGTCTCTTATGACTCCACTAGCGGCCGCCTGCGACATCTTACGCGTATATGCCGTTTACCCTCTTAGGGGTGGAATTTCGTAAAATCCTTTCTTAGCGGATGCCTACGTCATAACATCTAACTGCATGCCAAATTTCAGTCCGATCCGTCCAGTGGTTTGGGCTGTGCGTTGATAGATCACTATGTCAGTCAGTCAGTCAGTCAGTCACCTTTGAGTTATATATCACACATTTTGTCCAAATTCTGGATGCGAGCTTTCCCCAACGAGCGCCTAAGAGCTTTTTCATCCAGCCAGTAACTGTAGCTGAAAGCTTCTTCTTCTTATTTGTTTTTCATAATAGTCATCAAAACAACCAGTAGGTACCTAGTCCAAAATATATCTAGATTTAATTAAAGTAGCACTTCTGTACAATCACTGCTTGTGACCAAATAAAAAAACTATAATATGCGGAATAGAAGTGACCACTAAATCTTCCAATCAATTTCACAATGCGAGTCCCATTAATCTTCGATGTTACTCACTCGTCTGCCGGACATTTTAGTAAGATAATGTCAATGCCAATCCGCAACTGCAACTTTACTCACGTATAAACATAGATATACATAATATTCAAATACCTATTATAATTATATTATATTATGACCTCTGACCGAAACGCTGAGAGTGTGTCAATTTTAAATAAAATGCACTCACTCCTTGGCACGAAAATGAAAAATATACCCGCAACAATTGCATACAACAGTCAGTGTCACAAAAAGTTTGTACTTTTGTAACGTACAAAAAACCATTCGTAAGTGAAATAAGTAAAAATAGTTACACGGTTTGTGCATCCGGAATTTAAAAAACAATAATGCTTTATGTTGCCTAGAAAAAAAAAAACAATTATACCCAGGTATTTGTGTAGGTTAAAGATTTATTGTATTTAGTAGAAACAATGCTATGGGATCATAGCAGAATATTAAAACGAATATTGACCAAAGACCTAACGGACGCCCAAAAGCTCTTTCAGAGTCACAAACAAAATATATCACTGATACTGTAAAGTTTCCGTCTATCCCCACAAACAGGCGCCACCAGGCGTTTACCCATGTTAATATTAGAGCTAGTTTTTAACCACTTATAATTATTTCTTAGACTTGTTTAATGCTTACACATAATGTATCACGTTACACGACGCCTCGGTCTATAAAAGCTTGTTTGTAGTACTTTATTGCTCTCGCATTTAATGCGATGCAGATTTTTCTGAAACGCGTTTCTAAAAAATAACTTAGAACTTTATGATAACTATAATTACATGTAAAGCTCCCCATAATTGGCCATAAAACACCTCGCCAGAGCCACAATAAAACATTCCGAGATCCATCGCTTGATTTCCTTGAACATAATTTATATGTTTGTCCGTCCGTGTGTAGACAACAAGCGCCATTTTAATCGGTCTATTATTCATGCCAATGATTATTGATTTTTAATGCCATAACGTTAATGATCTATTGGTTTTGGATCGATTTTAATTTGCATTAAAACGATCGTCAGATCGCGTATAACACCTACTGAGTTTATGACGAAGCGTTTTGTAAACATTTAAATTAGCAAATTTCGAATAAATGAATATTCTTATTCTAATTAGGAAGAAAGTGACAATGACTTGAGTTTTTTGAAAACTTTTTTTTAGAAATCTTAAAAACAGCATCGAACTATTTTTAAAATTTCTAAAATATTTACATATTTTGTGTGATAATGACAAATTAAGGTTATTTTTTGCGATTTTTTTTTTATTACTTTCTGGTTGAATTAAAAACCTCCTCCAATTATCATTACAAGCCTTATGTAGAGTCTACTGCAAAATCCTTCTTTCTGCACGCTTCATAGATTAAATTAATACAGATAAGAATATCCTGGCTAGCGTAATAAATATTGCTTAGATTGATTGAAAACACCAATTCAAGTGTAAGTTGGCATACAAAGTAAGCTTTTACAAGCAAATTCGTATGTTCAAGTTTAAATACCCGTTTTCTACTTAAACCTTATTTTTTAAGCTTTGTGCTAGGTCATAGTTAAATATAATTGTTCCGAAAATAACCCTGTTCCAAAAGTCTATATCTATCTAAACGTCTGTGAAGGTCGCGGATTTTCTCGCATCATTGCTATCCACAACGCGAGACATCTCGCGTGCTTACAATAGCTAGCATACTGAAACTCTAGACTTCAGCATGTTTATGTTATTTTAAACAGCATACGCGTGTTATATAATAACCGTTTTTCAAAGCACAGCCTCAGTTTTCCAATTAATTTTCCAATCAACTAAAACCTGACACTTACAAACGACTGAAACTCACATTAGGAACAAAAAAATATAGAATTTCACGATTTGCTCGATGGACAAACAATCATATTAAAACTGTGGAAAGCAATTGAAATATGCAGGTAGCTACAACGTATCCTATCAATAATTCAATAATTTTGAAAAGTATTTGTTAATTTTGAAGTACATACAACCATTGAATGATTTAAAAAAGAAACAAAAAAGAAGTTCATAGCGTGCGTGATCCACGAGGTCGCGGTGATTGGCGCTTGATTCGATTGATCGATTTCGATTAATCGAATTAAGGTTATTAAATCAGGTCGGTTACATCACTAACTGCTCCGCAGCTAAGAGTGACCTTGATAATGCCCACTTACAAGACATCAAGAATTGACAACGTATATTTATCAGGTGATTGGTTGTCAATTAACCAGCTAATGGTTGTCGACGTATAAATATTTTTGGGGGCCTTGATTTATTAAAGATAGGTCGTTGTGACTGTCTAATATTGTCAAAAGAGTCTATAACAACATAATATTTGATAAGCGTACGTTTATATTCTTACCATTATAGCTCTTTATAGTTGAGATTCCGATTTTTCAGTAGTTGCAAGCGCAAAACTGAAGTAAATTTATGCTTATGGATGTTTCATCATCATCCAAAGGACGTCCACTGCTGAACATAGGCCTCCCCTAATGATTTCGACATCGCCCGGTTGGTAGCGCCTGAATCCAGCACCTTCGTGCTACCTTTATGAGGTCGTCGGTTCAACTTTTAAATGCTTATTGGCAGACTAAAAGGTATACTCTCTTTCGCATGTCTCTACTAATTTCAACACTGGAACCAGTATTATTCACTAACTCACTTCGAATTCACGACATATTAACAACAAAATGTTTCATGTTAATGACCATGAACATTTTAAATGAGGAATCTGATACTTGATTTGTGTTTTTGTGGAAAAGCAAGCTTTCTTAGTGTTTTTTTTATTTTATTAAGCATCTAAAAAATCTGCAGTTAGCCATTGTTATTTTCAAAATAAACAATAAGTCTTTTGGTTTGGACAACAATGACATACAATGATGAATGTTCAAAGTATTAGGTATTATTCATGAAATTAGTGATTCATGATTGTTATTTAACTTTATTTTTATATTCAGATATTTTTTTTTACATTTACCGGTTGCATCTTTACATATTTTAAACTGACGATAATAATAAATATATTATGCATTTCTAACCAAATACTGCTCTACTTTCATAAAATGAAGTAGACATACATAAGTTAGACTCATTGGTTGGCAAAGTGGTTGACATGCCAATTCGTGTTTAGTTTATTTATTTTAAGTCGCTTTTCTTTAAATAATTTGCATTAACACAATGAAAATCATATCGTCAGTGGAAAGGAAAAAGGACTAAAGCGCCATTTTGGCCAAAATGAGTTATATACATTGTTGGATAGGATTTTTTTTTCTGCGTCGATCTATCTAGGTTTCAACTCAATCCGATGACTTTTTTGGCGCTTTAGCACTCTGAAAATTTTAAGTATTTCTAAAATCACCGCCCTCGTCGCTGCTAAAACGACGTGTTTTCAGTGTTTTTGCAGCAAGCGTCGTGTAAGTATTTTTTTGCTAACATAATATTTTTGCTTTCACCACATTAAGTATTTTTTTGTTATTTAAGAACTTGAATGACTAGTTACTTTAGCAATTCGAGCTTTTTGAATTTTATAGTTCATTGGTGTATTAGTAATTATTCTTAACTGTTGTTCAAAATGATTTGGCGTGTAAGCAAAAGTAAGTGAACAAGAATCGATTGGTTTTGGCGCTTTAGCATTTTTTTGCTGGCTGTTTGTATTAGTCCTTTATTATGTTAGCAAAAATACTATGCTTGAGATTTAATATTACATAAGTGTTAGCAAAAAATAGCCTTTTCTATTATGTTTTAAAGTGTGTTAGCGAAAATGAGTTTTAATCAAAGAATAAATTATGGTAGATAAGTATTATTAACAAAGACACATCAAACACGCTTGTGACTGTAAGCACACATTACGCACTCGGATCCTGTCGGGACTTGTCGGTTATTGTTATTTAGTCGCCGCCCAGGTCGTCAACGGGAATCATCATAACAAAGTTTGTGCGAGTTATTGATTGCAAATAGGACTGTATTATTAGATTTCAAATATCTACGAGTGATTTTTAGTGTGTCAACTGGATTGTAATGTTTAAAGGTATGTTTCTTTAACTATTTTGTCTTATAATAATGATGATAGACAATTTTTTTTAAGGTTACGTGCCTCAGTCAGTCAGCAAAAATGGAACCCATTTAAATAGTTGTTCGTAATGTCTGCATTATTATCTGTTAGGTTAGAATAAGTTGTGTTGTGTGAAATTCTCTGTACACACGGCCACACTGTTAACTATCCATTTCCGTTTTTGCTCTCGCTCTCATCAAATGGTGATTCTTTGCGATAGTACGAGATGACATGACTGGCAATGAGCAGTTAACACTGTTACCGATAGTACATGAGTCTAGCTAAACTCGCAGATCGTTTTTTTTTTTAATTATGTTAGGAATAACATTTCGTTAACTGGTCGCAAATACATTCTGTTATAATGTTTTCGTTTAATAAAATGTTTTAGAAGTAATTATCAGAAATACTTACTTAAATATTGTCTTTTGTTTAAGGTCTTCATGGACAGCAAACGCAATGTTTATTTTAAGAAGTACCTTGGAAAGAAGCTATCCAACCCGAGTACACGAGATAATTCTAAAGAAAACCCGCAGGAAGTTAGTAGAAAACGACCAAAACAAAGTAATCCTGACTTTGTAACCAAACTGAGGCGAGCAAACACAGCAGATTATGACAGTATACAATCTCAAGATAACACTAGTTGTTTGGTTGACGACAATTTGGATTCTGAGACAACACTTTTTACACGTAACGACGTACCTTCTCAGGACTCCAGTCTTCCAATTCTTTTGCCGCCTGTCCTGGAGACCAACCCATCTGATGACATGTCTTCTCAGCATACTATGGCTCATATACTCTCTCAACCTGCTCTGGAAACCTGCAATCTTGACGAGATAAGGATTCAGCACACTCCAGAATCGATGCTTATACAGTCCACAACTTATACAGGCTTAGATACTAACGCCACTGGCAACATGACTGATCAGTGTATGTCATCACTGGAATTGTTAGAACAACATGTTTTAGAAACCGACGCAGATAAGATATCTGCCCAGTATATCCCTGCTTGCATGGTCCTACAACCAGCAATAGACTCCAGCGCTCCTGACGACATGTCCACTCAGAATGCTTTGACACCACTTCTGCAACTAGGTACTCTTACCAGCGCTTCTGACGAGACATCCACTTCACATACCCCGGCTCTGAAATCCATGGCTCCTGACGAGGTGATGACTCAACAAATTCCAGGTTCTGATCTCCTACAATCCGCCATAGAGTCCAGCGCTCCAGATTTGCTCCTTCAACCTACACCTGAAAGTGAATCTACCTTGCCCACTCAGATCACACCGAGTTTGATGCATCTAAAACCAACAGAAGAAACTGATGCTTCTTCAAATCTGACTACTCATGATATACCAGGCCCTCAGACTAACCAAATTCAGTCTTTGTCTAGAGAGGAGGAAATCGAAATTTGTTTGAATCAAATAAGAGCAGATGATGAAGAATGTATTGATGGTAAACAAGTCAGCAGAATTACGATTGAGCTAGAAGAGGAAACAAAACCAATACCAGAAAAAGAGAATAACCTGAAGACTAAGAATATCTTAAATATTGAAGGAAAATTAGACTCTAGTAAAGTAACATCTGAAAGTTGTAAAAAAACACGTTCTCTAAAACAATCTAAAGACAAAACACGTTCTAAAATAAAAATTGCAAAAGCAAATTCTAACATCATCAAAAAACCTAAACCTGGCAGTAGTACAAAAACTGAAAAACACAGAAATGAACAATCATTAACTATGGAAAAAACAATTGTTGAAGAAAATTCTGAAAATGTTAGTGAGAAAAAACCTGAAAGTAGCCGAAGGATTTCAGCAAAACATGTTGATTTTCTATCTTCAGATGAAGAAATATTCACACTAACCTCTTCCTCCTGGGACGAATCAGACGAATCAGACGATACAGACTCAGACTCACTTGACCATGAAAAAAATACAAGTAACAAGAAAGGCAAAAATCAAAGGAAGAAAAAGAAACAAGTAAAAAGAAGAAAAAAAGTAACTGAAAAGCTAAGCCTTAGCAAAGAAGATTCTGACACAAACCAACAAACAGGAAATGAATCGATGGACCAAACAAATTCAAGAAGAAAAAAGAAAAGAACAAATAAAAATAAAGAGAGATCAATTTTGAAAAAAACTGGCAAAGAGTATGTTACAAAAAAAGGAAAAGTGGTCAGAGCAAAGACTTTGCAAGCAAATCCCTGTGCTCCAAAAAATTGTCCAAACAATTGTTATGACATCAGTGAAGAGAGACGAAAAGGTATATTTGAACATTATTGGTCTTTAAGTTCAGAAAGACGACGAGATTGGATTATAAGTCATACGAAGAGAGAAATTGTGAAACGAAAAAGAACGAAAGATGTAGAAAGTCGAAGGAAATTTACAAATTCTTACTTCATTAATGAAGGAGAAGGGAACAAATCCGTTTGTTTAAAATTCATGTTAAAAACCTTGGATGTTCGTCAAAGGTTTTTATATCTAGCGATCTCTACTTCACAGGAAGGAACCTCTAATATCGATAAAAGAGGTAGAGGAGTACCAGCTAACAAAACGCCTCCTTCATTGATGCAATCTGTGAGAGATTATATCCAGCAGTTACCAGCAGTTCCCTCACATTATTGCCGAAAAAACTCCAAAAAATGTTATTTGCCACAAGAATATAGAAACCTGAGCAACTTATATAAAATCTACAAACAAAAGAACATTACAGACGAGAAAAGTTTTGTCGGTGAAAAAGTTTTTAGAAATGTATTTTTGACAGAATTTAATATTTCATTCCATATTCCACGAAAAGACAAATGTTGCAAATGTATTAAATATGAAAATAGCCCCGGAGAATTTCAGCAAGAAAAGGAGATGCACATGACAGATAAAGAGGAAACATATTCAAGATTCGGAATACACCAAGCACTTCGCGAACACAATAATAATGTACTTTGTACTACGTTCGATCTCCAGAAGGTATTAAACACACCTTATGGACAAAGCATGCTGCTTTATTACAGTAGAAAGATTGCAACCTACAATTTGACATTTTACGAGTCCATAACAAGAGAAGGATTTTGTTTCCTATGGAATGAAGTAGAAGGGAAGCGTGGGGCGAACGAAATTTGTACTATCCTAGCAAAGTATATTCAAAAAGTGGACGAACGCAAATCTATTCAACATTTGCTTTTATATTGCGATGCTTGTCCTGGCCAAAACCGCAATAAAATTGTTCTGGCCTGCATTCACAAGTGCCTGCAAAGATGCAAGAATATCACAACTATACAAATAAATTATTTGCTGCCTGGGCACACATTTATGCCAGTGGATTCAATGCACTCGGTAATTGAAAAAAGTGTTACAAACACTATTGTATGGGCGCCGTCTCAATGGCCTACAGTATGTGCCCTCGCAAGAAAATCTCCCAAACCCTACGAAGTAGAAATTTTATATCACGAAGATTTTGAGGGGTGGGATGTGATTTCAGAAAAATATTTTAAAGGTAATCTTACTGGTAAAATTAGCAAGATTCGCATAGCTACATTTAAAAAAAATCGCACCAACCACGTCGAAGTCAAATACTCTATGAATATTGACGCTGAAACCGAAAATGTAGAAGTCCTAGGTAAAACCGAAGTGATGCCTAAGAAAATCTATTATTCTAAACTGCCTATTTCAAAAAAGAAATTTTCCGACTTGGAAAAATTGTGTAATAATAAAACGATTCCTGCATTGTACATTCCAGAATATAAATCATTGCCTCATGCAGCAAATGTTCAAGATGTTTTGCCAGATACAGATATAGAAGATGTTCAAGACTGATTTTTATAAGTATATTGCTTTGCGGTGCATTACCAAAATCACTATGATTAGATCTCATATTATTTACATAATACTCAAATCAATAAATATGGTAGTTATCAACTAGATTAAGATAATTATAAGAAGAAGTATAATTTTTGTTTTTGTTGTTGCTAGGAGGCTAGTTATTTTTTATTTAATGTTTTGTTTGTAAAATTGTTATGTTAGTAACATGTTATGTTATTTATGTGTACTTAGTTTACACGAAGCCAGCGCTGGCTGCCAGTGAGACTGGCAGAAAACGTTGGCTTCTTGTAAACCTTATTTGTAGTTAGACATCCTACAGAAGGTTCCTATCATAAAAAATGTTAACTGTTCCTACTTTTGTTCACTATTTTAATTATTACGTGGTACAAAGTTATGTGACTCTTGCTTGATTAATGTTATAAGAGTCCTTAGATCTAAATTTTCTAAGATAATAAACGAAATTGATTGGCAAATGACATGATTTTTATTTAAGTGACCATTTATTTTTCTATAAACTATACATTAGGCCCGGTTTTTTGATTCGTAGTTAAAATAACCAATGGTCAAATTTGACAGATGTCAAATGACAAGTGGTTAAATATCAGAGAAAAATGTTTTGAAAAACAATGGTTAAAATTTAACTATTAGTAGCAAAATTTAACAATTAGTTAATTTAACTAAGAATCAAAAAACTGGGCCTAAATAATTCAAAATGTAGTAATTACCACTAACCCGTAGCCAGTTAGAAGTATGATAGTAAATTTAATAAGGGCGTTAGGATAATAATTAAGCATTTTTTTGTCACAAAACATAATACCTATTTAATCTTTAAGTATTACTATTGCTTGAAACATGTAATGTAGTTAGAGTTTAGTAACATTTGCTTATATTCGTTCTATGGGCTCAGCGTACGTAAGCGAATATTCCTGTAGGCTCCATGAATAATATTGCTTCTTACGCATTTTTTCGCTGGCGCATGCGACTATCTTATTTGTAGTTTAGTAATTTATCTTCGACTCACATAATAAGCTGTAACTCACTAAGCAATTTTGCTCTTTTATCAAAAAGATTGTTTATGCTATTTAGCACTTTTTGCTTGCTGGATATTTGAATAATAATGGAGGTTAGCAGTTTTACCCTGACAAACATTTGATAAATTTTCATAGTACTTTTCGCGTCGTAGCAAGACTCGCATTTATTTAAATCGTCTTGCGGAGTAATCCTTCTGTACCTGTACTATTACTTATTCTGTGGTCATAGTTAATTATAATTGTTCCGAAAATAACTCTGTTCCAAAAGTCTATATCTATATTTAAACGTCTGTGAAGGTCGCGGATTTTCTCGCATCATTGCTTTCCACAACGCGAGACATCTCGCGTGCTTACAATAGCTAGCATACTGAAACTCTAGATTTCAGCACGTTTATGTTATTTTAAACAGCATACGCGTGTTAGATAATAATCGTTTTTCAAAGCATAGCCTCAGTTTTCCAATAAATTTTCCAATCAACTAAAACCTGACACAGACGACTGAAACTCATATTAGGAACAATAAAATTATAGAATTTGACGATTGTTCGATGGACAGACAGTCATATTAAAACTTCAAGATTATTGAATTATTGATAGGTTACGTTGTAGTTACCTGCATATTTCAATTGCTTTTCCGCAAAGTAGTTGTTCATTTTGAAGTACATACAACCATTGAATGATTTAAAAAAAGAAACAAAAAAGAAGTTCATAGCGTGCGTGATCCACGAGGTCGCGGTGATTGGCGCTTGATTCGATTGATCGATTTCGATTAATCGAATTAAGGTTATTAAATCAGGTCGGTTACATCACTAACTGCTCCGCAGCTAAGAGTGAACTTGATAATGCCCACTTACAAGACATCAAGAATTGACAACGTATATTTATCAGGTGATTGGTTGTCAATTAACCAGCTAATGGTTGTCGACGTATCAAATATTTTTGGGGGCCTTGATTTATTAAAGATAGGTCGTTGTGACTGTCTAATATTGTCAAAAGAGTCTAACAACATCATATTTGATAAACGTACGTTTATATTCTTGCCATTACAGCTCTTTTTTTTTTTTTTTTTTATGTGATAGGAGGCAAACGAGCAAACGGATCACCTGATGGTAAGTGATTACCGTCGCCCATAGACACCCGCAGACCCATAGTTGAGTTGAGTTTATAGTTGAGTTTCTGATCTTTCAGTGGTTGCAAGCGAAAAACTGAAGTAAATACTTGTGGATGTTTCATCATCATCATTTAAGCCCCAGGACGTCCACGGAATCAGAGTCATCATTTATTTGCTTTAAATGTGCTTAACTGCTGAAGAAAGGCCTCCCAATGATTTCCACATCGCCCAATTGGTAGCCTGCATCCGTCACATTTGTGCTCCCTTTATGAGGTCGTCGGCTCAACTTTTAAATCCTTATTGGCAGACTAAAGGACTCTTTCGCATGTCTTTACTACTTCCAACACTGGAACCAGTATTATTCACTAACTCACTTCTAACTCGAATTCACGACATATTAACAACAAAATGTTTCATGTTAGTGACCATGAACATTTTAAATGAGGAATCTGATACTTGATTTCTGTGTTTTTGTAGAAAAGCAAGCTTTCTCAGTGTTTTCTTATTTTATTTAGCATCTAAAAAATCTGCAGTTAGCCATTGTTATTTTCAAAATAAACAATAGTCTTTTGGTTTGGACAACAATGACATACAATGATGAATGTTCAAAGTATTAGGTATTATTCATGAAATTAGTGATTCATGATTGTTATTTATCTTTATTTTTATATTCATATATTTTCTTTTACATTTACCGGTTGCATTTTTACATATTTTAAACTGACGATAATAATAAATATATTATGCACTTCTAACCAAATACTGCTCTACTTTCATAAAATGAAGTGTAGACATACATTGGTTAGCCTTATTGGTTAGCAAAGTGGTTGACATGCCAATTCGTGTTTAGTCTATTTATTTTTTAGTCGCTTTTCTTTATATGATTTGCATTAACACAATGAGAATCATATCATACTTTATTTTGCGCAAACGTCGTAACTCAAGAACGTCAAAGTATAAATTAATAAGGACTGTCCAATTTTACTGAACAGAAAATCATTTTTAAAAATCAGTAAACCAATTAGTCACCTAAACGATTGATATTACTCGAGCGATGTTTTTATATTATACTTTTAATTACCGGAACAATTAATTAACACTTTAAATAACAAGCGTAGTTATTATTCGGCCAATAAAAATAATTAGAAAATTATTAATAATCAATAATATCTAGAGACACTCTTCGACACCGAATCGTTGGCAATGTATGTTAAGTTATTCATAATTAGCGGTAAAAATTATACGGCACATTTATCAATTATTCAAATCGATTCTAAATGAAAAAGGATAATTGCGTTTACAATGCTACGAGTTTGTTTTACATTGTTTGTTTTAGTAATACACGTTTTGATTGTGCGACATCTTCATTGTTGCTGATTTTCAATTTTCATAATATTTTGTGATTCATTGGACGTAATTGTATCAATTGTAGTTAGTAGCGAGCAGATCGCGCAAACTACTTGTTATATGGACACACGATTAAGTACTTTGTTCGAAAGAAACTTCTTCGTGCGTGTAAACTACTGAGAAGTTAGGTATGGATAAGTCTATATTTTGATGTTTTGTTGTAAAGTAATGACTTACTAAAGGAATTTCTAAGGAGAAATAGAGATTTGGATTCTAAAGCGAGGCAAATAGTAATGTGATGAGCTCGAGCATAGTATAAATGTAGCTTCTATGTAGTTGGGAAAGCTCTTTTATTCTAGGTAATTAATGTGATAGTTGATCAAAAATTTCTTCGTATTGGCTTCACAACTTCTCTTTACGTAGACAAACTTAGAAAAACCTTTACGTAGGCATACGGGAGTACCAAGACAAGCTACAGTCTCTACATATTGTAAAAGCACTAGAGGACTAATATCAAGGAATTAAATGCAAATGGAATCAAGATCGTGTTGACGTCATCACACATTTATGTTGTCTACAAAGTACAGGAGGTGCGTGGCTGCGCGTGCGCCCAAGGCCGCGTCCCGCGATCAATAATGCTATAAAATAGCTATAAACACCCGTTTCTTTTGCGCTCAAATATTTCCAATGTACCCGGATGTCTTGTTTAGTGAAGTGCCTATAGTTTTGGACGAGAAATAATGTCATCAAATTCAATCTCCTTTGCCTATGCTTTAATATCCATGTAAAAATTGGTAAAAGTTAAAACTTCTAAACATCAGTGGCTCCCGCGTTTAAATACCTCAAGCGTATTAACATCCTCATTAATATATTAATAATCTAATAGTTATTGGACTAGCGCCACAAACATTTACTAACAAGTTTACTTTTCTGCTCTACCCAAGTGGTCTTCTACCTCCAAGTATAGACGACGTCATGTCAAGTCAATACCGTGGCATTTTATGTTGTTAAATAGGTAGATGGTGTCATTTTGTAACTAATATCTAATGTGTCTTCCAGCAACTTGTTCCATGTTTAGCTTGGTCCACGGGCCAAGTCGCTGGTTTAAATTTTAAAGCCACGATAGCCGAATGGTGAAGGGATCGGACTGGCCGACTCGTGATCCGGGGAACGCGGGCTTTTTCCCCACCACTCGACTATTGTGGTGAGCTCACTCGTGACAGAAGAATATTTAGCTTAGTACGAGGAGCTAACGGGACTATTAGTAATTTCCGAAATAACAAATAAATGACTAATTAATAATCTTTAATTTTTTTTTTCTTCCGGCAACATAATTAAAAATTTACCAAGTCAAGGACCAAGCTAACAGTGGGTTAAGTCGCTGGAAGACTCCTCATAGTGTCATGTCACACATGTTGACAGCAAATATCATTTTTGTTGCAAAATAGCACCTACCAAAATTACTTTAGATGCCACAATGTTAAGTTTGATGTGTTATTCTCTGTGTTTCAGTTTAATTAACAATTAAAGAACTAGTTCCCCTCATGGGACTGGAACATTTCCATGT